CGGGGCGCTGCGGGAGCCGGACAGCCGCGGCGGCCAGCGGCTGACCGCCGGCTCCGCTCTGCTCACGCACATCCTCCCGCAGCTACTACCTGAAAGAGTCCAAGGGCAGCCGGCGGTGGCTCCTCTTTCTGGAAGGTGGGTCCCAGAGACTGAGGTGCCGCGGGGAGACTGGGGTCTCCCGGGAGGGGGGGCCTCCCGGTGGGCTGGGTGGGGAGGGGTCTCCCAGTGGGCGGAGCCTCCTGGTGGGCGGGGTCTCCAGGTGGGCGGAGCCTCGCATGGGCCTCTGGTGGGCGGGGCGATGGGCGGGCAGAGCCTCTGGTGGGCCGGGTCTCCCGGTGGGCGGGGCCTCCCGGACGGAGACGAGCCCGTGGCCGCGCATGCAGGGGGCTGGTACTGCTTCAGCCGGGAGAACTGCGACTCCAGATACAACTCCATGCGGCGCCTCATGAGCTCCAAAGACTGGCCGCGCACGCGCACAGGTCAGCAGCACGCGGCCGGCCGGAGACAGCGGGCCGGGGCACGGCCCCGCCCACCCTTCCTCCCCACCCCGGGCTGCGCTCCCCCCGCCCCGTCACCCCTCCTCATCTGGGGTGGGGTGGGGTGTCAGAGGTCACATCCGCTGTCACAGAGCCCGGGCGCCACCTCCCACTCCCTCCGGCCCCGGGGGCTGCTGTGACCCCGCTTTGCTGCCCTCGACGCTTGTGATGCTGGGGTGCGGTGCGCCCCCCGCGTGCCCCGCCCGCCCCGCCCCAGGAGGACCCCTCTGCCCCGCAGGCACCGGGATCCTGTCCTCCCAGCCCGAGGAGAACCCCCACTGGTGGAACGCCAACATGGTGTAAGGGCGGGCCCTGGGGCCCGGGAGAGGCCTTGCGGGGCGGCGGGGGGCCGTCCTGGGCGGGCCTTGCGGGCCCTTGCGGGAGGGGGGCGTCCTCTCCGGCTCCCCTGGCCCGCCGCGGCCCGCAGGCTCACGTGATTCGCGTTGCAGCTTCATCCCGTACTGCTCCAGCGACGTCTGGAGCGGGACGTCCTCCGGCTCCGAGAAGAGTGAGTCCTGGCGCGCGGGCCCTGCGGGAGGGCGGCGGGGAGACAGGCCGACCAGACAGACCGACTCCCGCCCGGGCCCCCCTGAGCTCCTCCCCACGGTCCACCTGGCCGGCGCCCCCGCTGCCCGGGCCTGCTCCTGGGTGTAAAGCGCGACCCCCGCAAGGGGCTGGGAAGGTGGCTCAGTGGTAGAGTGCTTGCCTTGCATGCATGAGGCCCTGGGTTCGATTCCCCAGCACCACATAAGAAAAAAGCTGGAAGTGGCGCTGTGTGGCTCAGTGGTAGAGCGCTAGCCTTGAGCTGAAGAGCTGAGGGACAGCGCCCAGGCCCAGAGTTCAGGCCCCATGACTGGACCAAAAAAAAAAAAAAAAGCGCGACCCCCTGCTTGCACCTACCCAGCCCCAGCCAGGTCCCAGAACCCCTCTTCCTGGCGGCCAGACCCCACCTGAAGCCCCCCTCCTCTGTGCAGACGAGTATGCCTTCATGGGCGCCCTGATCATCCGGGAGGTGGTGCGAGAGCTTCTGGGCAAAGGGCTGAGCGCCGCCAAGGTGCTGCTGCTGGCCGGGAGCAGGTGGGCAGGGAGGGGAGGGGGAGGAGGGGCATGGAGGGGGTTGGATGGGGCCCTGTGGGCAGGAGGGGGAGGGTGGAGAGGGGAGGGGGAGGAGCCGGTGGGGAGGAGGGGTGTGGAGGAAGGAGAGGGGGAAAGGGAGACAGGGGGAGAGGGGGAGAGGGGCAGCAGCGCCCTGCAGACCTCTGCGTGGAGCACTGCTGGCGGGAAGAGCCAGGCTCCTTAAGGTCAGCTGGACGTCTACCCTCAGAGTGCACTGTAGTCAGAAGCTTGCAGAGGTGGTTTCTGAGTTGCAGTGACCTAGGTAGTTGGTTTGTGGTCAGCTGTGGTTCACGAGGTTCTTTCTCCAGGGGCCAGTGTTTTGTAGCCCAGGGTTATGCCCCACTGGTCAGTCACCATGGTGCACAAGGCAGACAGGGTACCTACGAGGACAGAAACTGAAGCAGAGAGAGGAAGAGAAAGGAAGGAGGAGGAGCTGCGCTCCCGGAGGAAGGGGCCATCTCCACCGCGGGCGGCCCTGGGGGGCGGGCTGCGGCACTGCCAGTCCTTCTTTGCCTCCAGACTTCCAGAAGACCCCCCTTCCTTGCAAGGGGACAGGGCTGGAGCCCAAGTGTCAGGACACCTCATTGGGAGGCTGTGGGGCTTTTTGGGCTCCTGCTCAGGGCCTGGGCTGGGACTGGCAGCACCCTGGCTCCCCGGCCTCATGTGCGCCCTTCCCGGCAGCGCTGGGGGCACTGGGGTGCTGTTGAACGTGGACCGGGTGGCTGAGCAGCTGGAGGAGCTGGGCTATCCGGCCATCCACGTGAGGGGCCTGGCGGACTCCGGCTGGTTTCTGGACAATAAGCAATACCGCCGGACAGACTGCCTGGACACCATCACCTGTGCGCCCACAGAGGCCGTCCGCAGAGGCATCAGGTGCCCCAGCCTTCATGCCAGGCCCTGTGTGCTGAGGGGGGGAGGGGGGCATGGGGCGTCAGGGCGGGAGGTTAGGGAGAGGGCATGGGAGGCCAGGGTGGGGAGGCATGGGGCGGCAGGGCAGGGGGAGGGCATGGGGGG